TGGTCCAGACATCTTCCTGTGTGTGGCTCTGGCCTCAACTCCAGACACGTCATCCTTGAGTGCAGATGGGTCACAATTTCAACACGTAATTACCAAACCTCCTTGTCCTGGTTGTCCCTGAGAAGCATGGGTCCCTTGCACACCTCTGCCTGGACATTCCAGGCCTCAGTTTTCCATCCTAGTGCAGGGGCTAACCCTAAGGAACTGCTCATTCACATCCTGCTAGATTAGGGCTTGTGAGGCAGGAAATGACCATGTTGGCCTCTCTCCCTTCCATCCCCAAATGGTGTCATGTTCCCAGGCTTTGGCTGCTCCGTGCTGGGTTCTGCTGCTCCCCAGCATGCCCTCTGAGGCTAGCCCCCACCCCAGGACAGGATGGTGGAGGGGTCCTTGCAGGCAGACTTTTCATGTTTTACATTGCTGGGCTAGAACCTAGGATGCTCAGCACTCGGTGTTACACTGAACTACCTGCCCCCAGGCTTGCGTGCCCTTGCCTCTCTGAACCTCGGTTTCTCCTTCTATTCCTCTGCTCCTCTCTCCCCCTCCCCTTTTCAGAAAGCTGTGTGTGCGCACATGTGGAGGCCAGAGAGCTGAGTCAGGCGGCTTCCTCTAGCACTCTTCACCTTATTTTTGAGACACGATCTCTCTCTGAACCCAGAGCTCCCTGATGGGCTATGTGCACTGACCAGTGAACCGCCAGGCCCTCCTGATTCCACTTGTCAGCTGGAGTTTACAAGTGTGCTCTGCCATGCTCTGCTGCCATGCACTGGTGCTCAGGTCTTATGCTTGCAGGGTGGCATCTCCATAGCAACCTTCTCCTCCCCATCACTTCTTGTGGACTGATTCTCACCACATAGCCCAGGCTGCCCTAGAAACTGCAATCCTCTGGCCTCAGCCTTCAAGTTCTGGAGTGCCAGGCAGGCCCACCACCCCATCCGAACAGTGGGCCCCACTGAGGATGGCCTATGAAAACTCCCCACAGTGTCTAGCATGCCAAGGCAGCTCAGGGGCTCTCTGCAGAGGCCTGGTCACCTCCCTCACAAGTCATGCCTGGAACTTTGAGGACAAGTGACCAGTACCTCCAAGGGTTCATGAACCCTACCTTAAAGCAGGTATTCAGTGTCAGGTCTAAGGAAGGGCACAGACCCCCTCAGCTTTCTCCACCTGACCTCAGAATCACATGGAGGCCTTATTTCTGCACCTCACTTTGCTCCAGGCTATACAAAGAGCTGGGATAATGGCAGGGTGTCCCCCAAGAAGACTTGAAGTACTCTGGGAAGCAACAATTGTTGGTGTGGCCTGTAGTTTTTTGTTACATATATACAATCACTATTTATGTATTTGTTTATTTGAAACAGGGTCTCACTATGTAGCCCTGGCTGTCCTAAACTCACTCCATAAACCAAGCTATCCTTGAATTCACAGAGATCCACCTGCTTCTGCTTTCTGGAGTGCTGGGATTAAAAGTTTGCACCACCATGGTAGCCTTGTGCGTGTGAGTGTGTGTGTGTGTGTGTGCGTGTGCCTGTGTGTGTGCACAGATGCCAAGGTGCCACACACAAGGCCATCGGACAACTTGTGGGAGTTTATTCTCTCCTTCCACCATGTTGGTCCTGCAGATTGAACTCAGCATGCCGGGCTCAGTGACACAGACCTTCAGCTGTGGTGTCACCTTGCTGGCCCTTGTTGGCCTGCTCTGACAGAGCCAGGACACTCTGGGACGGGCCATTGTCCTGCCAGTTACAGATAGGAAGTAGGGGGGTGGCTTCGGGAAGGGCTAAGAGCCCCACATGGTGGTGACTTGGAGGAGGGCTGGACTGTCATCCAAACAGGAGTTGTGTGACTAGCCAGCAGGAAGTGGCTACTTGGTCCACAGATGTTTCCTGGGCCGGGTGGGGTGGAGAGTGTTGTGGAGGCGGAGTGGTGGGGGTGGGGATGGGGCTGAAGCCCAGGACCTTCTTCTCCATCCTTGGTCCTGTTCCCTGTGAAGCATCTTGGAGAGACGAGAGACCTGGGCAGGATACCCAGGCCCCCTGAGCACACACAGGGTCTCCCATGGGCTCCAGGATGAGCAAGCACTCCCTAGGGGGTCTGAGGGGGTGGGAACTCTGCTGCAGGGTTATCTCTCTCCCTGAAGGTGCAGTCTGCTCTCTCCTGGGGCTCCGGAAGCTGGGGGCGGGAGGACAAGGCAGGAAGCCCCAGGCTACAGCCAAGAAGTGGAGTCTGACCCTGGCAGCATGTCCTGGCTGCTGCTGTGTCCACTGGTGCTGCGGCTCAGCCTGGCAGAGGGCACCCAGACCCCCAGCTTCTATGATGATGGAGAGACTACCGGGGGAGGCCATGGTGAGTGACTCTGTCCCTTGAAGGGAGGGGCAGAACAGAAATGGAACCACAGCCAGGCAGGCTTATAGCATTAGGTCCCTAAGTCCTAGACCTTTGGGGCTGGGCTATGTCCTTCCACTCACCAGCCCAGGGTCCCTGAGTGCTGGAGTGGGGACACTGAGGCACCCACAGTGCCTGAGACTCACAAGGTCACCCTCCCTGCGTCTTGTGTCCCCACAGGCAGGACTGGGCATGGGCTGACTGACATCCCCTCTCTCCCACAGAAGGCACTGTGAGTGTCACGGACCCAGCCCAGCTTCACCCACGAGGCTTCCCGGGCAAGTTCTGTGCCAACGACAGTGACACGCTGGAGCTCCCCGCCAGCTCTCAGGCACTGCTGCTGGGGTGGGTCCCCACGAGGCTGGTGCCTGCCCTCTACGGGCTGGTGGTGGCCGTGGGGCTGCCAGCCAATGGACTGGCACTGTGGGTGCTGGCCACGCGGGTGCCCCGCCTGCCATCCACCGTCCTGCTCATGAACCTCGCGGTTGCGGACCTGCTGCTGGCCCTGGTGCTGCCACCACGCCTGGCCTACCACCTGCGTGGCCAGCGCTGGCCCTTTGGGGAGGCTGCCTGCCGGATGGCCACAGCTGCTCTCTATGGCCACATGTACGGCTCAGTGTTGCTGCTAGCTGCGGTCAGCCTGGACCGGTACCTGGCCCTGGTGCATCCTCTGCGAGCGCGTGCATTGCGCGGCCGGCGCCTGACCGCTGGGCTCTGCTCGGTGGCCTGGCTCTCGGCAGCCGCCCTAGCCCTGCCTCTCACTCTGCAGCGGCAGACCTTCCGGCTGGCTGGCTCCGATCGCATGCTGTGTCACGATGCGCTGCCCCTGGCGGAGCAGACCTCCCACTGGCGACCGGCCTTCACCTGCCTGGCTGTCCTGGGTTGCTTTCTGCCGCTGCTGGCCATGGGCCTGTGCTATGGGGCCACCCTGCGTGCACTGGCGGCCAGCGGCCAGCGCTATAACCACGCACTCAGACTGACAGCCCTGGTACTGGCCTCGGCTGTGGCCTCTTTCACACCCAGCAATGTGCTGCTGGTGCTGCACTATTCGAACCCAAGCCCCGAGGCCTGGGGCGATCTCTATGGAGCGTATGTGCCCAGCCTAGCACTCAGCACCCTCAACAGCTGCGTGGACCCTTTCATCTACTACTATGTGTCCCATGAGTTCAGGGACAAGGTACGCGCCATGTTGTGTCGCCAGCCAGAGACCAGCAGCTCTTCTCAGGCCTCCAGAGAGGCTGGAAGCCGAGGGACTGCCATTTGCTCCTCTACACTTCTGTGACAGGTGGTTGAGGCGGGAAGGGGGGCATTTGGGGTTGACCAGATCTCCCCTTTAACTGCATCCCTCCTGAACCCTCAGGACATGACCTTATTTGGAAATACAGTTGGTGTGGCCGTCATTAGTGGAGCTGAGGTCCGTGGAAGAAGGCGGAGGCCAATGCCCTTGAAAAAGAGGAGCAATGATCCCAGTGCTATGCACCTGTCACTGTGGAGGGAAGAGGACTAGGAGCTCAGGGTTATCTTTGACTACATAGTGAATTCAGAGCTAGCCTGGGCTATGTGAAACCCTGTCCTTAAAAAAAAATACAGTAACAGAGCACAAGAATGTGTAACTATGGAGGCAGAGAAGAGTTATGAGGCTACAAGTCAAGGGATGCTGAGGGTGGCTGGGGTCATTAGAACCCATAAGTGAGACAATTTCTCCCTCGAAGCCTCAGAGGAACCCACCCCTGGACACCCTGATCTTGTCAAGGAGACTCTTAGAACTGTGAGCCAATAAACTCAACCCTTTGTGCTTTGTATATGTGTGTCTGTATGGTGTAGATGTGTGTGCACGCACGAGCCTGTGGGTATACGAGGAGGCCAGAGGATGACAGGTGCCTTACTCAGTTCCTTCTCTACCTTTACATTTTTGTTTTTTAATTATTTTATGGCCTCATGGTGGTGGCACACACCTTTAGTCCCAGCACTCAGGAGGCAGAGGCAGGCAGATGTTGGAGTTCAAAATCAGCCTGGTCTAAAAAGTGAGTTCCAGGTCAGCTGGGGCTACACAGAGAAACCCTGTCTCAAAAAAACCAAAACAACAACAACAACAACAAATTTTTATGCATGTAGGTGTTCTGGCTGCATGTGTGTCTGTGTACTACATGTGTGCCTGGTGCCCACAAAGGTCATAAGAGAGCCCCCTTGAACTGGAGTCACAGATAGCTGTGAATGGAACCCCGGTCCTCAGCAAGGGCAGCAGATGCTCTAGACTGCTGAGCCAGCTCGCCAGCCTCCACCTTAACCTGCGAGACTAGGTCTCTGGGTGGATCTGACTCACTGCCTAGGCTAGGTCTGCATGTGGCCCAGCCCACAGCACCACGCTGGGGTGCACCGTGAGCATGTGGCCCAGCCCACAGCACCACGCTGGGGTGCACCGTGAGCATGTGGC